ATCACGACGTGATGCATCGCCTGTGGAAGCCGGTTTGGCAGCGTGTTGCCATCTAGAATGGAAGGCTCCAACCTCCGAGCGTTAACTTTTCTCGACGAGGAGGAAGGAGCTCAGCTGGTACGCCGACTTTCTGCCCGTCGCCGATAAATCTCCGTGTCATCCTCTCGTGACGTCAACCGCGAGGCGCGGTCACTGTAATTTTTGTCGTCTTCTCAGACCTCTGGCCCCTTCATGCGTTCGCTCGATTTGAAATTATTTTATTTTTCATACAACATATTTAATATTTATTTTCTATCCACTTTCAATATTCAATGGCACGCTTACGCATTGGTGATAAATCACGTTATTCCCATTGTTTCTGTTTTTGTATTATAAAATTAAATTATACTGCTTAATTACAGAATATTAAAAATAAAATTTTGTCACATGCAGATAGACGGTAAAAAATTGTGTGTAAATAACGGTCAATTAAAATCTTTGTGTTACTTTAATGTGTGAATATATTAGAAAGTAATGTATTAACGCGTCGAATATGTCAATCTGACGCATACTTGTGTACTTTTCAACATATTCCCGTGTTAAAGGGACACCAACATATCAGTGGGCCGTTATTTACACGAAATTGTTTACCGTGCGGACGTTTATGCGACTCGCAAAGTACACACGCAGCGATCGGTACACACGGGCTCTCACAACCGATGTTTCCTCCTTTCTTTTCTCGTGCAAATGCGCCAAGTTTTTCTATATTTTCACAGATTACCACGATATAACAGCTTCTCGCTCGGGGATTAAGGTTGAAAACCGTCCGTCCCGTCGACGATGACGACGACGAGGATGGGAGCCGAGACGACGGCGCGTCTCCTCGAAATATTTGATAATCGCCGGCCATCGTAATGCATTTTACTTTTAATCGCGTCCTTCCGCGGGCCCGTTTCGTGGCGTTTAATCCGACGAAATTGCCACTTTGTCCGCCGTAATGAGTTCTCACGTCGCGACGGGGGCATTATGATCGACGAGGACGGCAGCGACGACGACGACGACGGCGGCGATGAAAAAGAGAGATAAAGAATGCGAGCGAGATGAATTAAGTTCTCAACTCCATTCAAACATCACTTCCGCCCCGATGATCTCATCGCTCCTCCTGCTCTACCTCCGCGTCCTCCTACAGTTTGATCGGCGCTCCAGCGCTATTATTACAAGAAGTTATTCTTCTTTTCCCGTGAGAGAAAGAGAGAGAGGGAGATCCTTTCGTCTGTCTCTTCGAAAACCGCGGCTACATCGCGGCGTTACGCTAATCGCGAAGGCATTTTTCGCGAGGCGAGGCGACGGCACGCCACGTAATCGATGATGCTAAGTAAGTAGGAAATGAATAATCGCCGACGGGGAGGACGCCGCCGTCCGTGGAGGAGCGTTTCCAGTGGAAATCGAGTGGCGCGATAACTCTTCGAGGCCGAGCCGAGCGGTCGATAACTCTTCCGGATGACCGGACGATCAATCAGAACAAAATATAGGCGTCCATAGCTCACGCGTTATCGATATCGCGAGAAGAGACGTGTTATTGACCTCCGCCTAGACTCTCGTTTCTCAGACACGGCCCCATTATTAATGCCGGCGCGTGCGTCAACTACATGGATCGATGGCGCTATCGACTGTTAAATTAAATAAATAAATCAGACACGATATCGCGGTTTGCTCGCGAATAACGCCGGTTCGGTGATCAGACCCGAAGAGAGCCAACGGATTGCAAATAACGCGTTATTTCCCGATCCTGCTTTTTCCCCGTTCTTTCCTTCCCTTCGCTCTGCGTTCGCAAGGTGCATCGTTGCGCGAACTTCGCGGAAAGTTGTCCTTCTCAAAATGTCATCGTCGCAGGCTTCTTCCGTCAATTACCGGATGCAGTTCGAACAATCTTTGTACCTGACGCGTACAGCGCGCTCAGGATTGCGCATTGTCGGCCGGTTCGCGCGCGGAGTCCCGCCCTGGAATGTGCCTTTCTGCATTCGACTGAGGGCCGCCGGTGTGCATCATGGGCGTATGAAACGGTTCCTCTGCCACCGCCGCACCATACGCTATTAATATCATGGGGTATATTTAGATTTCAATGGGGAAGAGAACGCGGGAGGCTACGAGCCGCGCTCGCCCGATACGCCGTCTGCAAAGCGCAACGCGCGCTCTCGGATCTCGCAATAAAGAAGTGCTTTTGTCCCGCCTCTTCGCGCCCGTCGTCGATATCGTCGACGTGGAAGAAGGTAATTGGTAACGCCGAAGACGACGAGGCTGTCCACTATCGGCCGTTTTCGCCGACGACGTTATTGTATTCTCGTGAGATCTGATTAACAAAGCACGAATCGTACCGTTCGCATGACTGCCCCGAGTGTGCCCGCGGTACTTGTGATTATCGTTTCATCTACTGCCGAATAATATTCACACGAAAAATAATTCATTTGACGGTACAGCAAATTTCACGCTGTCGCAGTAAAATTGTTTCTGCTTTAATTACGATTAATTCGCTAATTTGATCATGCCAATTGAATTCTATTGCTGCCGTAACGAATATGCAGCAGCAACGATGGTTGCCGTTTATGACGGCAAAATTGTTTTTCTCCATTATAGCAATGCAGTATTGCAGTGATTTATTTTTTAATTTATTCCATTTGGATTAAGTAAATATTACTTATATGGTACCTTTTTCCTCCGGTGTAGTGTATTCAAGTAATATTTACTTAACCCAAATAAAATAAATTACTACAATGCTCCTTAGCAAGCATTTACTCGAAAATAGCAATTTTTTTCCGTGCTTATATTGCCGCCACTGCTTCTTTGTTGTGGGACAACAAAGAGGAAAGGCTGGCGCCGGAAGTGACTGTAATTTCGGCGAGATTAATCGTGTTTTCCTCTCGGTGTACAACAGCGATCGAAGCGGCAAATCTCTCGCTGGCGGAGAGACCTCCGCGAGTCGCTTCAGCCGAAACAAATAATCGGATAACGGGAACGCATCGTCCGGTCGTCGTCCAGATCTCGCGTCTTTATTCGAGAGGATTTCGGAGGTATCGACTTTAATTCGGCGTAAGAGAGGCACGCGTCTCTCTCCCGCGTTTATTTATACACGCCGCTGTCTCCGCGGCCGCGCAACGCATTATTGCTCGCCCGTAGTACGTTTCTCGCGCGATATCTCGACGTGAATTTACGCACGACGACGGTGAATCGCATTATTTCTGGTGCACGAAGCTCGCCTCGAACGGAATGCACTTTCTGCTTCATATTTATAATTATCACGGCGGTTTCCGCGCGCGCGCCCGACCGAGCGAGGGGTATATGTATACGCAGCAACGACATCCTGTTTCTTGTCTCTCCTGTTTTCGTTTTTCTCGCGAGAGGCCTCGAGATTCAACACGTGACTGGCAAACGCTTCGTGGATGCACCCTTATTATCCGTGGCTCGTCGTCGACCGCGACGACGGCGGCTGGGAAAGCCTCGTCGGGAATGATAAGTACGCCCGTCCTGTGGTAAGTCCTTAAAATATTTAAGGATTTATTCGACGTTCCGCGAATACCCGAGAGGGGCGAGAAGGGGCGGTTTTCTGTGTCGCTGAATCGACATCGGTCGGCAGAGATTGAACCACCGGCAATACTCGTCCTCCCCTATGGCGCGACCCCGATTCTCCGAGGAATAAAATAATCATGGGCGCAACGTTATTCACAGCGAAACGCTCAATATTCTCTCGCAACGAGCCGTGTTCTTGTGAATTTATCACAAACGTGTTTCAACGGTGAACTCTCACAGCTTACATCATGTGGGAAACCACTTGAGGCAGGGATTCGGCACTCACCGGCGATGAAAGAAGTTCCCGCAAACATACCGTCCGGCTTAACCTTGTTTCCTAGTTGTTACGGTGAGTTTGGTTCTCCGACAACTTGCTGTTTACTTTGAAAAGAGACGCTCAAAATATCCGTCTAGCTCGTATCTCGATACAAGCTCGTAAACGTCCAGTCATCGGCCTCCTTATTCTTTCGGTGCGTTTGCATCTCACGAATCGACCGATCCCTTGTCGAACGATGTCGAGTAATGTCCGTAAAACGAGTCGGGGAGATTGTATTTTATACGTCGGATATCGCGCGTTTTATTTGTAGACGAGGTCGAGCGAAATAAATTGCAGCATTTTAGCTTTTAGGGAAAGATTATTGCAACACGAAGCTCGCTGTAACTCGGGGAACAAGGTCAAATCGAACATATTTTCATACTCACGTGGAGAATTATTGCGGAATAACGTGCCGTACGGTATCGCTCGAGCGGGATATATTTACATATTTAAAGGGAGAATTTATATATTACACAGCAATCAATTGGTACTTCGGCATCTTTTTAACCGGACGGTGTAACATTTTACCATGTGTGCTAAGAGTTCTCCGTACTTCAATTAAATATTTTGAACGAAATATTACCAAACGACGTATGCTAGCTCGGCTAGCTAATGCGGAATACCTTTTGAGTTTATAAATACTAATGCTTTTCAGAAAAATCCTCTTCGTGTTCACAGAGGAAAAGGTTTCTTGAAATTTCGTATACACATTTGTTTGACCTGGGTTTGTTCAATATAAACAACGTAATTTAATATCAAATATCATTTTGTTTGAATGAAAATGTTCTTTCAACCAAAGTGAATCATGCTGTTTGATAGAAAAACAGTATTATTTGAAGGAAATAATATTTCGTTTTCAGTCGAAAAATTTCAATTATATTTCAAATATTGTTCCACTGAAACAAAGAGGTGCTTTAACTACACTTTTACTAACGTAGCGTCCCTTCTTTTAAATAATTTACTGCTTGTGACAACCATTGTAATGTTTGGATGACAATAGAAAAGAAATGTATTTATTGCTTGAGAAACCATGCAATCCTGTTTATCGAATCAAACGTTCGTTTGTGTGTTCTCTTCCAAAAAACGAATTTACTTCAATTAAAGAAATCTTATTAAATATGGAGAAATCTTTTTCTCCGCATAGAACGTAATTTTATTATCCATAAGAATCGAATACTTATCCGCGAAATATTTCTCACGTATCGATTGTTACATCTCGTGTATTTACGAAAAAAAAAAATCGACCGTTGCGTTACATTTGGAGTAGGGGGACTATCTTCCGCGTTCTTCAAATTTCAAGTTCGGAGATGTCGGAGACAGACAGTCGTGAATACGTGACGCAGGCATTGCCTAGATTTCCCAATACACTTTTCTCCTTTTTTTTTTTCTTTCTGAAGAAGAAGAACAGGAAGAAGGAACATCTCGCTTCCTCCCCTCCGTGAGCAACTCGTTCGAGGAAATGTCTCTTTCGCGAGGAGGTGGGGTCGATGACACGGGTTAGCTTATATAGAAAGACGTTCGGTTTAAAGGTCCATTAGATCTCCGGATGCAATATCGTTGCGACAGGTGACACACCGGATCGTAAGAAGCAGACGGCGTATATTAAGGGCACGCCACCCGATATATCATCAGGCGGCAAAATAGAAACATGGGCGAAACATTTCGTTTCGATCGATCAAAGGGACAATATTATTTCGTGCCCATACCTCGCCATTGTAACGCATGGGCGTAATATCGGAACGTACAAATCACATTTCAACCGCCGCGAGCACCTGAGAGCTGATATAGGCTGATGCGCATATTTTTCAGGCCGTTCAGGCTCGCATTTGTCCGTGTTAATCGACAGACACGGGAAACCCTTTTTTCCTCTCTCTCTCTCTCTTCCTCGGCGTCCGATCGCGGCGAATCGAACGATCGCGGGGTACGTTGCGACGTAGCGAAACGTCGCGTTAATTAACTCCAGCGTATTTTAGGCCGCACACTTGTGGAGAAACGAAAGTTGAACGTTTCGGTCTCTGTTGTGTGGTCGTTCCGCTGCGGACTTTCAGCGCGCGAGTTCCAATCGCTTTTCCCCGTGTCGCACGTGTCGGTACCATCTCTCCTTTAATGTAGCGCAGTTTCGCCGGTAATTACAATAGTTTGACACGTTATATGTCGCATAAGCTGTTTTCCCGGACACGGGGCGAGCGAGCGAGCGAGATAGAAGGGGGGGAGGAGGTCCGGAGTCGCGCGATGGAAAATCCATTTACGATCTAAGCTCCGGCTTAGGCTAAGCCCCCCAGATCGGCCCCATGATTTCGGTACTTCGATAACCCAGTCGTTGTGCGAGATGTCCGCCGGCGATTCCTCGATCGATTTTCCCGCTCCGTATATCTCTCGACAGGGATTAGGTCAGGGGCCAGAGAAACGGGTTAGAGCATGGCGAATCGGACGCTAGCACGACCATCCGAGTGATGAGATGATTGGCTCGCTGATGAAACCTGATAGAGAGTCGCCTGCTCGGGCCGGGTCTGGCTGCGGGATTATGTTCCTCCCGTGTGAGCACGCTGGATCACAGCCGTGATCTCATTCACTTCCGTCTCGGACACCACCTATTCCGCTCCGCGGCATTTTGCGAGCGCTATCGCGCTCGCTCGAGCGGCGATTTTCGGAAAATTCGCGCCTTCCGGAAGTCTCCCTGCCGCGTCGCCGTTCGCACCGTCGATTCCGTTCGTTCGCCGGCGGATTTTGTCCCGACGATTTCGGTCATTTTTCGCGCGACTTCCTCCCGTGTCCACGATTCCGCCGAACGCGCTGCGGCTTTGGTCAAGAGGGACTCTGTGTTTTTTGCAGGCCGGCGAGACCGCAGAATTCCGGCTGGCGCGGAGAGAGGCTTGCAACTGGCGCTGTCAATTTTGACTAACCGGGTGGCCGAGTCTTTCCGAGTAACCGAGTGTACGGACAATTTCAGACGTTATCATTAACGGTCGTCTGTTAGAGAAATCGATCATTTGTGCACAGAGAAAAATAAAGAGAGAGCAATTTCTTCTTTTGAATGAATGATCATAAGCTTTTCTAATATATAATATTTGCGACGGATATGAACAAGAAAATATTCTTTGTTCAAGATAACCGTTGCTTAAAAGAAGACAAAAATTAGCCGAGTAACTGCTTTTCTTCGCAGTGCAAGTAATTTTTTTGCTGTGTGTAACGTCTGAAATTAATCGTATACTCAGTTATTGAAAGACTCGAGTATTTGGGTAGTCGAAATTGACAGCACTACTACTATTCTTTGAAATATTGCCTCATAATTTGTAATTTCTGTTCTGGCTTATATTCTGTTCTGTTCTTATATTTCATGTTTTAATCTTCTCGATACTCGGCAGTCGTAAATATCTATCCTATGTGAGCGTACTCTTTGATCATTTTTGCCGAGCTCGATATTAATGAGGAAGACTTAAACGGGATCGAAACCGTTCATTGTTTCTTCACATTTTGGTGTTCCATAGATATCACTTGTCTTGGATTTTTGTATTCGGAGTTACAGTGTTTTCAAAATCCGCCGAAGTGTCGTAACTTTGTCATTTTTTGAAATACTTTAAAATGAAATTTGAAGGAGGAGGTACAGGCGCGATTAAGAACGACGTTTCCTCGAATGCCGTTCTAGTTCTTACGAGATATTTCAAGAAATGACAAAATTAGACGGATTAAAAAAAAAAGTGAAAACAGTTTCGAATGCTTTGAAATATAAATGATTCGTGAGAGAAGGCACAGACGAGCACACGATGCTTTTTCGAGAACGATATCAGGCAATTTCAAATATTCCCTACTCTTTCTCCAACTCCCTCAACCCCTTGAATTTTTTACACTTCAAAGTACACAAACGGCGGAGCGAAAGATGTCACAAACAAATGTACGCAAACGAGATAATACAAACAAACTGCGCGGGGAATTACTTTTTTTCTCCAAATCGAGCGTCAGGCTCGCGTGGGTTTGCTCGTAACAGTTTCACGCGCCAAGTTTGGAGATAAATTACACAGTGTTACATATTCGAAGGCGCTTCCATCTATATTTCCCGGGATATATGTCGGCACGTTTGTATTTTCTCAGAGATGGATACGGGCGTATACTTACACGCCGGCCATAAATTAAATAATATATAAGTATCCATAAATCCGAGGCGGGACACTGTCTGGCGGGAGCGGAGATCGAAGGTAGAGGAGAGAGCAACAAATTGCATCTAGTTGAAAACTCGTTCGGCCGTCTCTCTTGACTTTCCACGACGAGCAGCCGGTCTCGAGAAAAATGACACTCTTATCTGAAAAATGGCCGACCATAAACAATCCCACGAATCGGTGCACGATAGGGCGAGCAGCTTCGCATAGCGCGCCTTGGTATCGCTCTTTAACCTGTCGACGAAGTACCTTGTGATAAAACGCGCGAAAAATTGCGACTTCGGCGGGAGAAACGTAAGAAATTCTATTTTGCGCTTTGCCCGGATGGAATGATTGTTCGATAACGCGCAGATTTATCGTGCATATATTCACACTTCGATTAATACAATCTGTTTCCACCCCTTTTACGTTAAAATGTCGAAATCCTTTCTGACCTCTCTATTCCCTCCTACTTTCGATTGTAACGTAACGTGACTGGCGAGTTCTTCTAATCGCACGCAACACGTTTCCCTTGTTTTATCAACGCGAGATAATTAGCGGCGCGATAACGCGGATGCAAACATCAACAGGGACACTTCGATAGTATATTCGCCATTTTGAGGGAAACATTAGTAAATCCCGGAATTAGACATGATTCATTTATTATTTCTCGTAACTACACGATGTAAGTTAATATATATTCGAAGATAATTTAACGGGCTCGAAAATATGTGCGACAAGGAAAAAATATGTATCTCTTTATATACATGCGAAGTATTCTCGGAAAAGTACATATCGGTAAATGGAATTCATATTTTAGCGAGAACACGTGACACATGCGTCGATTCTCCCCTCCCCCTTCCTCCCCCGGTTTGGTTCGTTGTGCCAACGCGTTGTTTAATTTCTCAGCAGCGCAAAATTACTTGGCAATTTCCAGTAAATTAAATTTTTATCGCGAAAACACATTTGGCCCCGGATTAATCGAGGAGCAAGGTCCCCATCATTCATTTACGCTTCTGACATTTAATTTGCCGGGGCGCTTTAATTTTCGACGTTAAATAGCGCGATAATTAGGTCTTAGATGAAATTCTCACTGAGGAAAAATCGACTACGAATTACTAGGCGAGCGCGAATTCCCGCTACGAATTTACAACTCGGTTGAGACACGTCGGGCACAAAGAGAATATGAGAGAGGAAGAGAAAGAGGGAGATAGATAGATAGATAGAGAGAGAAAGAGAGAGAGAGAGAGAGAGAGGAGCATTTCTCGAGCGAGACCCGAGCGAAATTAGGGAAATTGATCGTCCTAGGAGAGACATATTACGTCCACCGATTCCTCCGTCGGACTTTTTCCCGTCGCCGCTCGTCGTGCGTCTTTGTAGCACCTCCCTGACACGGAGCCGGAGTTTTCTACGGGTTTTACCGTCCGTAGAAGCGGAGAGCGGCGGCCGTTTAGACGTCAACAGCTGCGCCGCAGCCCGCCCCGGCTAGCCCGGTTCTATTTGTTCCTCTTACATTCTTCATGGAATAGTTTGGTCTCGCCGCGGATATACACCGACTGCGCCCCGAGAGAGATTAAGAATATCTCTCGGCTTTCGTCGGGGACGCCGAGGCGAATCGTTTCCTCCGTTTGCTCCTCGCGAGTCCGCTACTGCTCCCCGGAGCCGCTTCCCTCCCTCCGACGATGGGAGCAGCGCTGCGCGCGCGTTATTTGATAAAAAGGAAAAGGAGAAAAAGGAAAGGGGAGAAGAGGGGGTGAGTACCCGTGACGACCCTTGAACCCGAAACCGTTCCCGATGTGCGGCGGGAGGGAGATAAGGGGTGGGAAGGAAGCGAGAGAGAGAGAGAGAGATAGAGAGAGATAGAGAGAGACGTCGCGTCTAGAGGGGACTATTTGAATCGTAAAATTCCTTGCGATAAGACAACGACGGGCGAGGGCGCGCGTTGCACTTCGAACGTGAGATTTAGATAGGGGAAATCGATGAACGCTTCGTAGCGCGGTGGTGAACTTACGAATAAGTACCCGCTCGCATTGGAACGCGGCTCCATGGACGGACAGCGCGTCGCGGTTATCTGCAGCGCGATACTTTGTTCGTGAGAGAGAGAGAGAGAGGGCCGGATGGAGATCTAATCGTTGGATCCGCGTCGTGGTGTTTTATTACCCATTTAAGCGGATTGATCGTGGAAACGTAGGGAAATATCCCGTATACACGGGGAGCCTTCTCTGTACGCGCTCTTCGTATTTGCCCGAAACAATTCGGTAATGGATCGGCGATCGTGTGTATGTGCGTGCATGAGGAACGAGAGAGGGGAGGGGAGGGCATAACTCACTCTCGTAAACCTTCTTCGGTAAACTTCACCGGTGCGTTTCGTCGAATTTTATCTCGCTTGGGAAACGAGTCGGACTCTCGTTGAAGCGGGCTTCGCTGTTGATCTCGATTAATGTTTCGGATACGTGAGCTGTAAGATGCTTATTTAATAATACCTGACGAAGCGAGTATACATACATACATATATATAATATATATTTATATAAATTTATGTTACATCCATTTGTCGGGGATATAATTATAAATAAAGATCCGTCGATTTTCTTTCTCTCGCGCCGAACGAAGCGGGATTCCCTAATACAGGACGCTACGATGAGGTTCTCGTCAGAGCCCGTCCCGAGCGCGAATAATGCAACAGCCAGTGAATAGCGCGGTGAGACCCGGTAATTTCGACACCCTCATTGCCACCACTTTCGCAATTAAGCGTAGCTTTGGTCGATTGGCCGCGACTTCTGCTCCCCTTTCGAAACGAAATCGTAAGGCAGGCGACGCGATTGTTCTAACGAGGCCTCATTCATACGCGGTTCGAAAGTAAGGACACTTCGTCCCCGACGCGCGCACCTATCTATCCGGCCGAGACTCGTGTACTTGCGTGAATTGCACTAATTTCCGACGTGTTTCTCCCGCTCTGTCGCGGCACACAGACTGCTCTCTCTCTCTCTCTCTCTCTCGGCGAGACTCGCGCTTACACGCACACACGTACACCGGTGGAGTTCCTCTCCCGTCTTCGCGGCGAGAGAGCGAGAAAGAACGCCGTTCTCGCGGTACACTACACTTGTATATCACAGATAAACGGACACCTGGCCGGGCTACGCCTTCGCCGCGCTCGCGGCGACGGGATCCTGATCGGGTTTCGTTGGTAACGGCCTGTTCGCCATCTTACTGGTGGAGGCCTGCGGCTCCGGCAGCTCCGAGTACAAGTGGGCGGTGGCGTCGGACGGCTCGGCGTACTCGCAGAGCAGGGAATTCGGCCTCTTGCCGCCGTTCATCTTGCTCGTCGCGCCCCGGATACTCTCGCCGAGCACCTTGAGGAAGCTCATCGGCCTGGTCTGGTGATTCCTGCCGGGCTCCAGCCGCGGGCTCTGGGCGCGCTCGTCGGCCACCAGGTGATCGTTCACCACGTCCGGCGGTAACGGCTGCGGCGCCCGGCCCATCAAGCTCTCCAGGATGGGCTGTGAGAGCCGACTGGTGCTCGGCACCGTCTCGTCGCCCGGCAATTCGGCGTAAAGGTGGTTCTGATCGCTGGTTCGTTGGTCACGGGGCTGCGCGTACTCCGTGATGGGCGGTCTCACCTGGATGCCGTTCGGCAGGAGTTTCTCCAAGGACGGGGCTTTCGTGCCGACGGTGACGGAGGGCCTCGGTGGGCCGCGAGCTCTCCTGATCCTCGGCCGGATGATGTCGTACGCGTTCTCCTCCTGATCGTCCACCGGCTGCCGGTCGTTGTTGTTGTTGCAGCTCTCCTCGACCTTGATCAGGTCGTAGAGATGTTCGATCATGTCCCTCGCCTGACTGTAGTCGTCCGGGTCGTTCAGCCTCTCCCGGAGATCTCTCAGGTACTCCTCCGTCAGCTCCTCCGGCAACGTCTGCGTCGCCTTGTTCTCCGTGTAGGGGTAGACGTCGCCGTCCTCGTCGTCGTCCTCCGTATCTCCCGGCTGAGGCTCCACTTCTAGGATTCTGGTCTCCGGCTGGAGGCCGGCGTATTCGTGGACGCTCAGCCTGGAGATCGACCTGGCGGAGGTCGCGGCGGTCATGCCGTTGCTGGACGAGAACCAACTCGTCAAGTTGATCAGCTGTACGGAGGTGAGTTTCGGGCATACGCCGCGCCGGCGCATGTAGAGGATCCCCGAGGCTAGGATCGCGACGACGACGATGAAGACCGCGACCACGCAGACGATCACGATGATCCTCTTCTCGCGCTCCAACTGCTCCGTCTCGCTCATCTCCATGTCGAAGAAGCTCTTTTGCCGGGGGTACACGTGCGGGCCCACGTTGGGCGGGCTGACGCTCGGCTCCGGCTTCGGCGACGGTTTCTCGCAGTTCACGTGGTCCCGCTGCGTGCAAATCAGCTGCGTGAAATTCCGCATGGCCATGTAACCCTGCGGCAGGTTCAGGCACTGGTTGAAGAACTGGTCGACCACGCAGAAGCTGGAGTCCATCATCCAGCTGACCGAGCTGTTGCGCCCCGTCACCTCGCGCATCCAATCCTCGAGGTTGCAGTGGCATTTCTCCTTGAAATAATTGTTGCCGACGTGGGCCGAGTTGACGTTCTGCGAGATCGCCGCGAATTTCAGCGAGCCCGGCCCCGCTTTGTGTATGTGATTGCCCGTGAAGGAGAACTCGAAATTCGGGGCGGAAGTGCTGCTGACCTCCGCCTTGATGGCGTCGCCCTCCAGCTCCATGAAGACGTTCTGGTCGATCGCGATGTGGTTCCACTGGTGCAGCATGATCGAGCCCGGCCGCAAGTGCTGGAAGTCGTTCTTGCTGAAGGTGACGATCGCCGCCGACGTGTTGATGGCGCCGCTCTCCACCTCGGACAATCTGCGCGTGGACAAAAGGGGATGTGTGTGATGGAACAGAATTAATCGTACGTTTTAACGTCTCTTTGTCCTCCGTGTCATTTCCACCGGGTGTGTAATCAACGGATTTTGCAACACATCCGTTTTCACTGGAGAGGGGAGGGGATTAGTTGTTCAGTAATTCTCAGAAGATTAATTTTCTCATTGGATGCATCTGTTTTCCACTGACTACATATTGGTTCATAGTTAATTGAAATATTAATTCGACGAAGACAGAATTCAAAAGCAACCATGGAATCGATCGGGACACCTATCGCGAAACTATTTACGATTCCGAGTGGGGTTTCCCGCGAGTTTCCGATTAGTGAGTTTTCCGATCGTGATTTCGCCCGTGACTTTTGGACCGCTGCGAATCTCTTTCGGAATCGGTCTCTCGTCGTTGCGGCGATAAAATAAACGTTTCCCTCGGCAAGCACTTTTCAGGAATCGACTTTCCGCTCGCTCGCGAGACGTCGAAATCTTTCGACCGAACATCCAGAATTACTCAAGAAGAACGGAACAATTCCTGTCGAAAATGTTTCGTGTTCCGTAATAGAATTCTACTTCATTTTTCAGGACACGCAATGCGATTAGAAACGCGCAGTATTGGCAATTTCCCGTTTTCGAATCTCGAATTTCTCCCTTACGATCGAATTCACGAAGTAATTTCAACGTCAGACCTTGAATATTGGATCGTCAGATTGTTGTGGCTGGCTCGAAAGGCCGCCGTGTTGATATTTCTAAGCTCCACGTCGACGAACTCGAGACTGCTGATGAGGGCCCTGTCGCTGAAGGCTCCCGACTGAATCTCGTGGATGGACGCGTTGCTGATGACCACGCTCGAAATGGTCATCGCGCAGAAAGCGTCCTTGCGTATGACCTTCGTCGAGATGTCGTCCATTCGAATTTCCGCGACGTTCGAGGGAAACACCGCCTTGGGTAGCTCCGCGATCCTCACGCTTTGGAACATTATCTGCATCAAAAGGGCGCCATTCGAAATTGTAATTAAGTTTCCGACACTTTGTCTCGCGGGCTAACGATCCGGGTCGGATCATGTTAAGTTAGATTATCCAGCCGAAATTCAGCCGAGCGGTAATACGTACTAGCGCAAATTGGTAGCGAAAATCGGGCTCGTTTATTCGCTGATATTCAACACGAAGCGTTATAACATTCCGAGTAATATCGCCGAATTTATATATTCGTGCTGACGTTACACGATATCAAATATTAATAACGTAATATAACTGGGACGCGAGTGGTATCGCATATAGATGATATTAATATTCTCGTCGGTATCGGTCATATATAATTTATTTATTTAGAATTTAAATCGATGTGTCGTTGAACGACAGTTCGCCGCGCGTAATAGCGTTGATCCATGAGAAAGAGAGAAAGAGATAGATAAATAAATATGTATATTGACACTCTAGGAAACAAAGTCCCCAAAGAAGAACGTCTTAGAAAAGAAATGTTATGAATAATTTGAAATTAAAAATAAACAAAAGACGGAAAAGGAAAATAATAGAGGGAGAGAGAGAGGGAGAATTCAGGTTCCAACCTTGGTCGCTGGTCCGTGCCGTCCGTGTTGAGGCGCCTCGAACTTGAAGGCGTTGCTGGAGAGCTCCAAGGACGGTACTTCCTTCACCGTGAGCCGTAACAGCCAGGAGAAGGCGCTCGGTTTGATCTCGACGTGTTTGCATCGCGATATCGAGACGCTCAGGGTGCCGCGCGAGTTCCTGAAGGCGTGGCTCTCGAGGAACACGCTGTTGCACTCCGATACCTCGAGATGCGTGTTGGGAGCGCTTAGATTCTGAAAGGCCTGCCGCTTGGCCACCACACTGTAGATCCCGGAGACGTGGACGCGTTTTAAGGGCGTGCCGCTCCCGAACGCGCCGGTTTGTATTCTCAGCTCTCGGCAGTGAGAGACCTCAAGGTCCGTCGCCTCCGGCGGGATGGTTCCTTCCAGCAACTCCACGTTCTGGAAAAAGAGGACGAGAGGAGACACTCAGAGGAAAACTCACGATATCGAGTCCGAGGCGTTCGCGATTCGCCGGCAGACATCAATAGACGCAATTAATGCGTGTGGGAACGGCGCGCGATGCTCGGCATCTTGCATCATCGAGACTGTGCGATTCGTCGTTTGAGGTTTGCATCTTCGTTGCGTAATGTGTGGATAACGTGACAAGGCGGGCGTGACTAACGCCGTTTACTGAAATTGCAGTATATCGTAAACGCCTCGGACTGAAGTATTTAATAAGAACGATCGGTATTTAATAAGAACGATCGAGAACTAGAAGAAATCGCTGTTTATAGATTATATTGGGATTATTAATTGAAACTAATAGTGTCAGATATAAGAGATATTTTGACATTCAAACTCAGAATGATGATGGATTTTTTAAGTAATCTAACTGTATGAAAAATCGATACATGCAATATAGAGAAACGAGATTCTGTAATTTGGTAACATCAATCACAGTCTGTAGTAGATCCGATTTCGTAAAGAATTGAAAGGAAAAACTCTTAGTCAGAGGTTTTAACTTGACAATCTTGCTATTCATCTTGTCGAGGACATATTATTCTCCTGAGCTAAAAAAGTGTACTTCGATTTTTTCTTATTACCGGCGTGAGAAGACAATATTGAATTTATCGCTCTTATCTTCCAAGCGAAAAAGGCGGGTCCACTGAATAAATATGCACGAAACACGGACAAAATTAAGATGTTTCCGGGAAAAACATCAACGCACTTATGCATTACACGAGACTTTAATATTGAAGAAAAATGAAAGAAATATGAATATATACCCTTTCTCTGGCTCAGAGGAAGAATAGGAGAGTAACGTGTGAAAATAGTTGAGTGAAAATTTCAATGGAAGAAATCGTGGGACCTCGATAATAATACGCTCGTTAAATACCAGAATCCCGGGGAGCGGACATGAAATATTCCTACTAATCTCTTCGCGTCGAACTTCCTGACCGCTATTTGTAAGTTTATCTCCGCGACAGTTCGTCGTGCACTGCGCGCTGCGATCATACGTGTCACTCGACTTCTTACCGTCTCTTTCAACTTGTCCCGACGTTATGTCTGAAAGACGGCTTATCTTTCCGGGATAAGCTCTCTCCAAACAGATACTCCGATTTTCTCTCGATATTTTCGAACAACTGCAAAGCGACCACAAAATCGTCGACAGAAAGAGAGAGAGAGAGAGAGAGAGACAAGACCCGAGAATTATTCAACGGTCGAACGGTAATCCGAATTCACCGGTATCGATCATGCGGGATCTCGCGGTTTGAAAAATCCGATTCTCGCGGGAAATATGAATTCTTGACGATTCGCGGACGACATCGCTTTCGTTCGACGATTTATCGTTCCCTCGCGAAGAAAAAAAAACAAATATGTCCTCTTTCCACCGGTTGTGTGAGAAATTATTAATCTGTCCCGAGCGCGTTATTCTCGGCGCGAGGCTTTATTTTTTGTGGGACACGGTACATATCCGCCTCCGACGTGCCACCTTTGAACCCGGCCATCGAATTCATTGTCTGGAGATGTTTTCGTATCACCGGAGATATCACAACAAGCGTTTAGTGCTAAACGCTCGCCGAGATACGTCGCATTGAGCCGACCTTAACCGCGCGATGACTTGATTCATTATAACGCCTTCCTGCGACGGCAAAGACGGCAAAGAGATACGACGGTGGCCGTTGAAGCGCAAACATTCGGCGATTATATTACCTCGTGTATGCCGCGATGAACACGCACGAGCTAATTAATTCTCCCCCGTTCTCCGTCTCCACCGCCGCCACCTGTTTGCCGTTTTCACCAGCGTTAACCAGTCTCGCATACGTGACACGCAATAGAGCGCCATATTTTGGAAGCTATTCTTTCGTTGAAAAACACATTGTATTGTTTGTCAGGAAAGGAGAAAGGGACCCGTGAAAAATCGCACGTTGCGAGCACCGTCGCGATATCCCGCAGTAATACGGAACGCAACAACAAATTTGTATTTTTCTTTTGTTGCAAACGTATCGATATCTCTTTGATGGGATACCCTTCGACGGTGGGAGATCTCCGCGAGTAACCCGAACGCTCGAGGCAGCGCGGAATTATTGCTCTCCGCCAGATCGGACTCCCTCCAGATGCGGATACACGGTGTTTACTTTGCGCGTTCGAAATGATTTTCCCGCGTACAGCTGGTTTATTTTTACGTACGACTTCGGTCCACGCGAAAAAAAAAAGAGACCGAGAGGTGGGGGGAGAGGAACTCCAACGGGCGTACGCGGGCGCCAGAGCCGCGCGCTTGGTTCCTTCAAAGCACCGGAAAATCGTTTCGAGAGTTCATTAGAATTCGCCGATGAGTCACGGTGCGCGGCCGTCGTCGCCGAGTAATGCGCGCGCGGTTCGACTTTCGCATCCTGTCTCTTGGTTACAGCACGGTAACACGAGCCTCCGGCTTTTCTTCCTCGCGTTTGTACCAACGTGTCGCCATTGTTGTCGCGATCGACGCAATTCGCGGCTCGATTTCAACCGAGACCGGTCGACTCTCGCGAGCGCCGCATCGTCAGAAGAGGCGCGGAGAGGGAGAGGAGAGATATTTCCCGTATTGCTTCGAATCGATATGCGCGTTATCGTCCGCATATCCCGGATTAACGTAAATGTTAAGCGTAGCGAGAGAATCGAGCGGGATATATCGCGATTACAAGCGCATGCGAGCCATGTCAGATGATCTCGTTGGACTATGGTGACTGCAGCTTCATTACAACTCAGATCACCCGGACAGGCATGATCCCCGATAGCGCGGGGTTCAGTTTCACGACAGCATCGTATAACGCGCATCTGGTTCCGGCAAAACTTACTATGCACTCCCCATCTATATTATTAGACGCACCTTCATTCGTTACGTTTCATTGACTTCCGAGGGCCAGCTTTATAAGACGGCTCGTTTATCGATCGGATTATGCTAAGGAACCATTATTCTGTAAAAAGTATTCTTTATGACGTCACTTTTTCCACTTCGTTTCACTTGGCTGTTACAATGAACTTGAACAAGTACGAACCCCCGCTAGTTGCATTGTTGATAATAATCGGAACAGACGCGTTTAGAAATTTAGTTTTATTTTTGTTTGTTTGCGACTTGAATTTTCAAATTCCTTGCTTATTAACAGGAAAAAAAAATATTAATATTGTTTATAAAAATTATGGGTAAAGCAACTGATCTGACAGGCCTCAGAAGATTGCAGTGGTAAAAGCGCTGTTTGACACCGAAAATTCCACCTAGGGCAGCCGCGGACTTCCGGCACGCTCCGGTTAATTACTACCCGCGATTGCGTCGCACAAGATTTTTCATTCATTCAATTTCATCATCGCGGCGTTCAATTTTTCAGCCCGGATTATTATTTCCGTTCTCCCACTTCGACTCCTCTTATCCCTCTCGTTACTGTCGCGCGGATTATTTTCTGATATTTACCCCTTTTACTATATTGCGCCGCACCGGTTTCCCGCCGGGTAAGCCCCGCGCTAGTTGATAACGCCCCGGACAAAGTAAACGTAGCCACGGCGCAACGAGCGGCGGTGGCTCCGTTCCTAATTAAAAATATGCGCGACTTCCTTGTAATTCAGCGCGAAAGTTCCGCGCGGAAAGAGTTAATTAGCGGAATAGAAGTACCGGGTAAAACTAGATGTCGAGCAGCGACGGGCGAACTGGACGACGCGCGTTGGATGCGTCGACGTTTTCGCACGCACCCCGCCCTCATGCACGCACGCACGCATCTCCTGCTCTTCTCGCGTGCATCGGTGACGTCACCTCGAGTGCGTCGCTCACTCGAACAGCTGTTGCAGTCGACGGTACCGCGGAATAAAGAACGGTACCGGGTGCGGAGGCGGGAAAGCGCAGCTTCCTATACATTCTACGCGACATCAGTTGGAAAACACGTCTCTCTCTCTCTCTCTCTCTTGTTCTCTCTTTCTCTTTTTCCCCGCCGATGACCGAATGACTAACTCGCTCTCAAAAGTCGTCGTGTCACTTTGCGCACTGAGAGTGACTCAAGGGCCGGGATAACGCCGGTTATTTCTGCGTCGACCCTCGGGCACAAAGAGCATCTCCCTCTCTCCCTTCCTCCCTCCCTCTTTCTCTCTCTTTCGCTCTCTCTCCCTCGAGTTATGAACGACGTTAATAAACCGCCAGTGCGAATTAATTTTGCGGTACCGGGAACACGGTCGCCCGCTGGCCCACAGCCACGGAATAGAATTTTCTATGATCGCAGTGTGGAACGCAGCGATCCAGTTTCCATACTCTCGCTCACCCACTGCCCCTTTCGTTCACGACTCGCATCGATCGATGTACCGACAAAACGGCGTGTTGTTAAGCGAAAGGAAAAAGAAACGGAGAAAAGGAATTCGGCAAAATCGGTTCGTGCTAATTTTGAGTGTGGGAACTTAACTTTGTATCCCGGATTCACGGTTTTATCGAGGAGTTTTTCTCGATTTACCGTAGATTGCTGGAACGGTTGGACGACTCTTTTCGAGGGAGAGCCAGGACAGCCTCTTTACGCTGACTGTATCATGGATAAAGAAATCCGATCGCAATATGGGGAGGAAACATTCTGACTAACTTTCGGGAACCTGCTCGGTCTCCCGCCAGCTGCAGTCACACAGAGAAACGACGGTTATTCGATTCGTCCCGAACCGTCCTAAAAACTTTCGAGCTGATTTTTTTTTTATCGTGCCTCGTCCCGTTTTGCTTCGTCCCGCAACAGAGCGTATCGTGACCTTCTCGGCTAATGTCTCGGTTGATCTCAATTCCATATGTGTGGGGAAAGATTTTCGGGGGAGGAAAAGTTCGCGAAGCTTCTAGAATTCCGAGATTCTCCGAGCCAAATGTAGCGAATGATTCTTACGACGTAACGTAAGAATGAGCAAAAACACTACGTTTATCAGAGAATTCGATGAAAATTTGTCTACCTTTAATGCGTCCTCCTTGA